GTCTGTGATGGTGGGGAGGCTGACTCCAACAGTCTTCTGTGCAGCCTTCACCACTCTCTGCAAAGCTTTTCTTTCTGCAGCTGTGCAGCCTCCATGCCACACGTTGATGCTGGAACACAGGATGCTCTCCACTGCACACCTGTAGAAGGAGCTTAGTAGGGTTTCAAGAGTTCTCCATTCATTTCCATGATGTAAAAACTGTAGACATAGTAAAATTTGGAAAAAAAAAAGCATAAAAAAAAAGTTACTAAAAGCAGAACATTATTTTATGTGACTGGTTAAAATAGCTGAAAGTATGCTGAAGCAGTTAGAGTCTAAATGACATACAGAAGAAACCCTGAGCAGGAACAGCAAAGCGGTGTGACTACTGGCTCAGCATTCACACGTTAGATATTGAGTGAGTGTCGGGAAGCTGTCTGCATCATACCGATGTTCGTGAGTGTTGCTGGTCAGTGTGTGTCCTGTGGGTCTTATTCCGGACCCCAGGCCTCACCTCCAGCTCCGGAGGCACCCGGTTTGCACCTCCCTCAGAAGTAGTAACCCACACTATCAATAAATCAAGGAAAACCTGAATTCAGTTGTCAATTGTATTAACTCAAGGCAGGAAAACGATACAGTAACAGCGCTGGCCTCCGATACAATTTGACATGAGATCAAGAACCGGAAGGGCTGGATGTCACATGGCATTACAGATATATAGAGCCTAGACTCCTCCTTTGCTTAAGGGGAGCATAGCTTATCATGTGGATAAGGGACCGGATGGCACACTAAGTTTGATCTCAAGGAAAAATGATACCAGTGCAGAAAAAGCCTTTCTACTTGATGCAGCGAGCCAATAAGAACGCTGTTCCTTGACAGATATTGAATCACTGGGAGACTCTTTAGAGTTGCTGGCCCCGTTTAAACCAGGCCATATTATAATCCCGTCTGAGTAGATAAAAAAAAAAAAACCAGGGTCAGTGTAGATAAAAATACTAACATGAGATTATTTGTGGTTTTCCTGATGAGTAACAAGTTTTAACTTGCATGTTCTCTTTTTGTTTGTGCTTTGAGCTGGACAGGGACGTTGGAGACACTGAAACGGATGAGGACGATATCCCCTCCCTCCTCAGTGACATTGAGTCATGTGGGGAGGGCCA